GCAGGAGAAAGTGCTGGAAGAGCCTTCAAAGTGAGAGAGCACCAAGGAAAGTCATAACAAGGTCAGGGCAGAACCATGGTTTCTAGTTTATCGAAGGGTTTTTCTGAGGTGGTCACACGGCACGGTCGAGTTTCCTTGGAATACTGCGTTTGGCCGGCGCAGTGGGCCGTGCGTGTGGCTTGGCTGCCATTCACAGTAATTGTCCCTTTATCAGCAGTAAACCCAGAAGCTGCAAGAATCCTATTTTGTGGGGATTTAGGTCTGTGTCTTTAGGAAAACAGTACAATTGTGTAGATAAACGTATACAGGCAAAGTATTTTTGTGCGAGGGGAGAAAATGTTAAGGGGAAATACACCAGGGCAGATCTCTCGGAGCTGCAGGGCTGTGATTTAGCAATTCCCCCAGTTACTTAGGTGATACTCACTTGTGTAGAAGGTGTGGCTGAGTCTGTTTGTCTGCAGTTAGCTGGAAGCTTTCTGCCTCAGCACAGGAACAACTTTTCCATTTTCATAAACGGAAAGAAGAACAGTAAATGAAAATAGAGGGTATTAATGGAGTAACTTCTCTTGTAAGAGATTATGATGAAACTAACTCTTAAAGAATGTCTTGGTCAAAAAGAACATTAGAAAGCCCACCTGGTATTTGCTGTGATCAAGTACAGGGACCAACATGTCATTCAATCAAGTGAGACCACGAACATCACAGGTGAGTTTTTGTACTTTTCAATAAAGATTTTTTAGATTTCACAAATAAAAAAATTATATTAAAATAAGCAACACTGCACCATTTCTAGGAGACCCAAGAGGAAAAAAAACCCCATGCTTTTAACCTAGTGTATGTAGAAAACATTCTTTTCTAGTGTATATTTAATAACAATTGCAGAAATATTTAATGTAGGTTGTTTGCATGGCTTCTCATTGTAGGGAAGTGTATCATCCTTGTCAATACCATCTGATTTTCACTACAAATAACAAAACCTAGACATTAACAGTCTCACAACTTCCACAGGTTTGAGCACAATCTGAGTGAACCTTGCTCAGAGCAGGCTTAGTTATTCTTTTTGCAGACATTACCAGGAGCATTTCTGTGCTTCCAAGGTAGCTAATATTACTAACAACTGTCAGAAATATTTTAGAATTTTTTTTCTTGCTGGCAAGGTCAAGTTGTGATACTGTTTGGATCAAGCTTTGAGGGCTTTGCATTTTTTATGAGATGAACAAAGGTAGGATTTCAGCTGAGATATGCTTGCAAGCAGGACATGCTCCAGAGTATCAACTGGTTTTGGTAAGCTCTGTCCATTGCTGTCAGAGTGATGTACAGCAGTAGCACAGGCTCTCTTTTCTCTTGTTTCCATTGTTGAGCTTGTTCTAATGTGACTTATTTTGATGCTGTCAGCTGGCATTCAATCACAAATTGCTCTGCTCGTGGCTGTTCTCACTATCTAGTCATCATTGTCAGATAGAGCCTCACTCTTCTGGTCCATGTACTAACATCGAAGAAACCATTCCTGCCTCCAGAAATTGAAAGTCCACCTAAGCAAAACAAATCATGCAGGAAGAGGATTATAATATATCTACAGTTATGATCATCTGTTCTTTATTTAGTTGGTGGAGCTCCATGTTTTTTATGTCCCAGAAGAAGTGTGGAACTTCAAGTTGAATACAGTTCCTGTAGCTCTTACAAGCAAATTCATCTCAGCCGGATTTATAAGGTGAGTAAAATCCTAGGCTTCATGTACGTGGCAGGTCATTTACTCCAGCTGTTTCTCTGTAGAGCACAATTACGTCTGTCAGAAGAGACTTGTTCTCTAAAAAGTTCTGGAGGGTAGGTTCTGCCCATGACTAGCGTAATGTTTATTTGGACTGTATCAAGCTTCTCTCCATTGCAGCCCTTGGTGTAGACCATTGAAATGCACTTCCAGAGCAGTGCTAGTATTTCTGCAGAATAATTTGTGTTGTAAAATCACAGTCTTACAGCCTTTCTGTCTCCTTGAGCCTGATTATCAAAATCTTGAATTCTTTTTGGCAGTGGGCCAGCTTCAAGACAGAGTGGCTTGATGAAGACGGGATAGCCTGTCAAATCCCAGGAACAGGGATATGACGATCTGAGCTCTCTCAGTCCGAAGAAAGAGCTTAAGCCATGTTTCTAAAGGGGAAGCATTACAGCCCATGCAACCACCAGCATATCTACTTTCTTCTTCAGCAGTATTTCTGGAAGGTTCCGCACCACACCATAGGCTGTGTGTGCTGTCAGGTAGCTGTTTAGATGAGTTAGTGAAAGAACACCCTGGTTCCCAGTCGTAGGCCCAAATCTGGCACAGAGAGTTGTAGTTTTCATAACTTTGAAAGTTTGTTTTGTACTCCTAAGCACTTTACTGACAAAATCTGTGTGTATCTAGTGTGGTAAGAAGTTGTAGAAAAATCAAATAACGTAAAGATGTGTACTGAAACTGAGCCTTTACATGCACCTTGTCTGCTGCTGTGCAAAACCTGTCAATTTAGCTTAAACTGCAGGGAATATGGGTTTAACTAATTTAAATTTAAGCTTGTATTGTCCACTTAATATACTGTGTAGCTGAAAAGATTGACAGCAGTCAGGTATGAGCATCTAAGGCAGAATGTATTCATTCTTGCAGCTTCTTTTGTTGAAAGGCTGCTCAAAACCAGAGGAAAAAAGTGCATATATCCATTTTGTTTGCTGTTCTAGTCTTCAGCAGAGGTGCAAAATACATGGCTGCGTGGTAACTTCAAATCATTTCATATGATTGGACATCTGTTACTGCCCTCTGTTCTCTGGTGTAAATTTTTTTCACTAAGGCTCAATTCTGAGGCATCGACTTAGATTAGGATGCTTATTGATTTCAGTGGGGTTATATCTGTCTGGGTGTTTGTTGCTTGCTAATGAGTCTTAAATAATTGCTAATTAATTATTCTATGGGTACTATGCGATGCTGCAGTACATTAGCGTTAGCAATAACTAGCACCTGGCCAGTGTATCACTGTCTTTAAAAACAAAAAAATATTTTAAAAAACTTCTCTTACTATAATCCAGGAGAGGGAACAGCAGCCTTGCTGGTACTAATGCTGTTTGGACGTTGTTGATAGCACTGTCCAGTCAGCTTGACAATCCTAGTACTGAGTCAGCTTAACAAAGGATTCCTAGGTCTAAGTACAGGCCAGTTCCATTAATCATGAAATTAGAGGAAAATATTAAGTGTATAGTTGTCTGTGGCTCTGAGTTCTTGTTCCCATGAACTTGATTTCTCAGCCTCTGTGATCTTTTATTTATTCCTCGTTGCTCACCACAGAAGCCATACTTCTGTTATTTCTAGATGAGATGGCTGCAATGATTTCTACTTTGCATTACTTTTAAAGGAACACCCTAAAGCAAAAGACTCAGATGTGTTTAGTCTTCTGCTAGCCAGTGGCAGCAAGTAAGAAATATGTTATTACATGTTCCTAGCAGCTGCACTGGCAAATCATTCTCACATAAATTTCTGCCCTATATCTCAGGTTCTGTATACCTAGATAATTTTCTCCCATGATACATTGTAGTTACTTAGATGTTTTCCCTGCTGTTCATAAATGCCATAGATTTAGATTTGCTTGCTAGTTTGGACAGGCATTATCAGTGAAGGATGTGCAGTGTTAGAACCGCATCTGAAAAAGCTTGCATTTATTGGGTTTCAGAAGACCGTTCAAGGGGTGTGTCTTCTCTGAGACATCAGCTTGAAGAAATGATAGTGAATGAGAGATATTTGAATTATACATAATCTCTGTTCGCACATAAGACCTTGGAAGGATGTCTGTTGAATCATGTATTCGTCTTTCACATATTTCTCTATACCTTTGAAATAAATCACATTAGGGCTAATATCTACAGCAAGTGTGGGAAAAAAATGGCTGGGGAAGAAATAATCAGGCGCTAAATGCACAGGGACCAAGCAGTGTGGCCTGTATGTTTCCACTCTGCAGACTTTGGTCTCCTCTGCTGCATGGCTGTGCTGCAAGGCAGATTTATGATCTTGAGGAGGGTCCTGTAAGTCCAGGGTGTTGGAAGTAATGCAAGGGAAGCACTGTAGCCCACCGAAGTGCTGTGTTTATGAGATGAAACTGAGGGCGTAAAATAAAGGCATATAGTGCTGTTTGAAAGTGCAGACAAACCCTGACAAGTTAATGTTGAGGACCTGTCCGAATTGAAGGGATGGCATGTTCTTGTCTGTACTGTTTACTGAGAATGGCATGTGCTATCCCCCAAGGTATGTCTGTGCCTTGCTTGATGAGTGAGAGCTGCCTGGGCCAAAATCATGCTAGGTATTCTACTAACACTTAATCAGCATGGATGATTAACAGTCTCTGGCCTGAATTTGTACCCTCGTTTATTTTAAATGGCAGCATAGGAGCAATTAGAATTGCTTATGTTGTGCTGCAGAGCTTTTGTGTGCCTCTTGCACATTTGGTTTTATTCTGCGGAAATGCTTTTTATTCTATAGTGATTTTTATATGGAGTTCATGAATATTTGCGTGGTTTCCAGTAGTACATTAAATGATGCAATTCATATTTGCATCAGCTCTCTCATCCTCAAACTATGGTGGAAATGTTCACACTGCAGTGTTTGGTTTTGATTTAAAAGACATTTGCTTGTACACATGCATACACCCAATTGTAAATTTGTATTGGAGAAGGCACAATCAGAGGGGTGTACCTGCTACTTAAAGGGGGCAGTGATGAAGTCTCCTCTGGCCCTTGGTGCTTGAAGGGGTGTGTTCTACAGTCCATGGACCCCATGGAACTTTATCACCTACATGGAAATGCATGACTGTGGTTCCCAATGTTTTTCTTATTCATCTGCAGATGAGCAGGAGCATTCTGAAGGAGTCATTTCCAAATTTCAGCTACTTCCATGTTCTCCCTTTGTATGGGGTTTCTAAAGTATGAGTATTGCTAGTTAATGTTATGAAAGCCCTTGTAATACAGTCTACCATATCGTAAGACAATGTTCTGACTCTACCACAGCAAGACTCTCTGGCCTACATGTAGTTAGGTTCAGTTCTAGGACATAGTTCTAATTTTTGCTAATTCTGTCCATGCAAACCAGCATGTATATAGCATTATCTTCCCCCTCTTACTAACTAGCCATCATCATTTCATCTTACAGATGTATTAATGAATAACAACATTCTAGGGTGTCTCCTCACATCACATTAAGAGTGCTACGGGAGAAGCTTGGAGAGTACCTGGGTGGAGTTGCTGTTGCAGATAAATTCAAATTTTTAAAATGCATTGGGAAAAAACTAGCAGTGGTAAGTTAATAATTTTTTTTCTTTAATGCTGTTCTGCTTTATGATGTAAACCACAGATTTTGTTCCTGCAGATAAGATAATATCACAAGAAAATAGAGATAACTTCAGGAGCACTGTTAGCACTTGTTTTTAAACATGCTGGAGCATAAGCTCTTGTCAGAGCACATCTACCTGCCCAAATACAAAGGCACAGCTGGACAGGTATATTAGAAACATCCGTTAAAGCATCATATTTAATTAGTTACTATCCAGTGAAAGGATGCTAGTTTTTATAAGTTAATGGATTAAATATGACAAATCCAGCTGCATTAAAAAAAAAAAAATCTCCCTAAGGTCCTTATTACCAGTACATGGTTGGGAAAATGGTGCTTGAAGAATTTTAAATGGGCTCTGAATTAAGCTTCTCTAGATGTACATTTGTGTTCCATTAATTAGTCCAGTAATACAGCCTGAGATCATAGAATCATAGAATCATATGTATGTCATCAAAAGCCTACATCTCTGAATCAGAACTGTTCCTCACATTGATTCTCTATGTATCTTACAAACTAAAGATTAAACTTACAAGCTAAAAATTAAATAAATTTGAAAATCAGTCCAACTGAAAGCTTGTTCTTGTTACACACAAAGACTTAAGTGAGGTACGTAAGTATAGAATACTTTTTTCACCTGTCATTTCACCTGCTTCTCACGGATTTGGAAATTTATTACAAGCTGGAAATTTGGTGCTGTTCTTTATTTCATTTGTAGTTGAGTTACCACTAAAATTACTCACACAGAAGACTAGAATAAATACTAAGTAATATGCAAAAAGTAGGTGGAAAAACATAATAATAAGTAAGATGGTGTCTTTTCGTCCCCACTAATAGTTCTGAGATAAATGGAGAAATTTTACAGTTTCCTTTAGAATGTCAGGAAATTAATAAAATATTTTACCTTGATAGAAAATTAAATATATTTGTGATATTGGTAGATACAAGTGAAGATTTTTAGAAAAAAATTAAAGATATAATTTTAATTTGTGGTATCTACTGTTGCTTGATGTTTAACTTTGTTATAAAGTGTAAAGCAATAAACCAACTAACTGGTCTATTTGTTGTTGAGGGTCATGGTAACCCTCATTGAATTACATCTCCATGATCAAATATTTGTGGAGTGGTTCTCCCCCCCCCAGTCTTCTGTTTCACAACACTAACAATGCAACCAGTACTAAGAGCTGTACCCTACTTGCAAGTAAGAGTCTTAAAATGAAAAATAAACTGAAGCTAAAATCGTGTGCATTTGCTCTTCCTTTTCTTGCACATAGCCCGTGTCTCTAACAGTGAATCGATGGCATTGTCTGGCCATTACTGAGACTAGAATTTGGCCCCATGTTTAGTTAAATTTCATTATTTAAATATAAGCTTATATTTCTTGTCTTCTGGGGTTTTTTCTTCTGTTGGAGCACATATTTCAAATATACATTGATTATCTTAGACTTTGTTTTTAGGACAACTGTTGAAATCTGAAAGTGTATATCACACAAAGAATATCAAGAAAATAAATACAAGAAAACACAGGAGAGTAATAGATTTTTTTTTTCTATATAGATTAAATATTTTGCAGATTGTGTCTGGTGAATAGAGAAAATTATGTGAGACTCAGCACTTCTATTCAGATTCAGCTTGAAGCAACTTTTAGTAAAGGAAGTTGAAGATTTTCTTCTGCTGTGACTGTTAATCAGGTCCTTTGAAACATAAGAGAAGATGCAAAGGATAAAAAAACATATTCAGTACTCTGACTGAGATTTGACAAATAGACAAAATAAAGTTTAAGTACCATGTCAGAAAATAGAATAGTAGACTATGTTCCTTCTTCCTCATGAGGACATTACAGAAGATAGTGCTGGTTATGAAAAAATGTGGTATGTAAAGATGATGATAGAATACAGAAATTAAGTGATATGCAACATTATTAATAAAAGCTATTTTATTGGTTATGCTTCCATTCTTTATCTTCCAAGGTGAAAGCAAAGCAAGAAACAGAACTGGAACTGAAGTCATTTGCTCCTCCTTATGTATGTATCGAGTGATTTTTAAATGATCATTTTCAGAAACTTTTTACATTGTACATTTCCTCTTTAGTCCTGTCTGATGAATATACCACATATTTTAGGCACTATATCCTGAATTATATTTATTACCTGGAGTGGAATACTTTGAAGATGTTTACCAATTATCATCATCAGCTCAACAAAGACGTCACTCTAATGCAGAAACTAATAGGTTTGGTCATGGATCAAGATTATCCAGTCTTCCCCAACAAAAACCTGAAAAAACCAAACAATTTTTAGAAAGCATACAAAGTGGCCATCAGCTAGAAAATCAGGAAGTGCACAGTCCTGTGGAATGGGGTAAGAAAGAACCTGTTCCAGGTTTGTACACAAAACATAAGCAAGACCATAACAACAGGATTCAAGAAAAACAGATACAGTTGAGAGAAAAAGGTAAGTTTAACCAATGTAGTGAAGGATGAAGATGAAGGAGGAGAATAAAAAAATTATAGTTAAAATTTACAATGAAATAATATTTCTGTTTTCTAATATCAATTATTATGCAGATCCAAATGGATCCAGTGGATCTCTCTTCACATCAAGTCATTCAAATGCTGCATGGAATGACAAAGCCAAAGGAACTGCTTTTACCCTTCATATAAACCACAGTGAGGAACAAGGCCAGAATAACCAGACACCCCCAAATCACATTCAATGTCGAGAGGGTACTACTGTTCATTGTCATCTTTTTGCTAAAGCATGCTTTTTAGAAAGTTGGCAGAGGAAAGATAAATTTTAAGGAATCTATAGTTAAAGCATGAGTTGGAATATTGCTATCAGAACAGTATTCTATTTTTTTAAATAATAATATTATATTACAAAGGGCTGTAGTTTTACTTTGGATGACTCCTTCTGTATCACTGTGACTGATACAGGGAAACTTTTTACTATAGTTGATGCACTTGTCTAATCTTATTAATATGGAAAAATTACTAAGCAGCTACTGTAAAGATTGGAGGATAATGATCCCATAATTCAACAGCAATTTTAAATGAAAAAAATCTTGTTATCAGTATATCAGGGAAAGCATTTATTCACTTCCACTTTCATTGTCATCTTATCCATGGCTACATTACTAGTGAAGAGGAAGCATTTCCTCCCTCTGTCCCATATAATGTTTATTTATATGCTATTGAACAGTGGCATTCCTAAAACTGAGAGGTGATAGAACTCTTTGAGCAGACTACAGTGAAAATAGTACAAAAGTGTATAGGGGTTTAAAGCAAACATTAACTAGATAACAGTTCTATGCCAAAATAGAAAATGTTGTTTGGAAGAGATCTATTAACTACTGCTTCCTTTAACATGGGGTGTCTTATGGATACTGAGGGCCACTAAGTCCCTGAACAGTTATATAATGTTCTTAATATTCCTAGATTTTTAGTGATTACCAAGAAAGAAATTACTAACACATTTCAACTGGATTTGAATGACTACTGCCATATCAGCATCAAAATTATACCATAAATATTTTTGAGGAGATACTTTTGAAAGACAAGTCTTACTATTTGAGTAGAATTTTACAGTTAGTGTAAAAAATATGAACTTTAGTCTATTACAAATTTTTAATGAGTAATTATTAAGGCAATATTCAATTTTTCATAGATATGATTTTCTGGATATCTAGCACTTTGAGTAAGAAAACAGAAATTTGCATGTTGTATTCTTTGACACGTGTCTGGAGAGTGTATTAAAAAAGGCTTTCATCGATGACTTTTCAGTAATTTCAGTTTCCAGTCATAGTCTCTCAAAAATAGCTTTGTTCCTCCATCATCCTGTTAACTGATGTTAGGTATGGGACCACTCAATATACAAATATATATCTGTAAATATATAACTGAAAAGTTTTCCATAGCTTTATTTTGAATGATGAAGGATGTAGGATTTGTAGTAGTAAAGGTAAGGTCTGTCAGCAATTTTTTTTTGAGATATGTATTGTGTGTATTTTAAAGCAGATAACATTTATTCTTTAACATTTAAACACAAAACATTTCGCTGTCCCTTTCTTTGCTGGCCCCAGTTTGCAGGGGATCTTCACCCTCTGAAAGGTAGAAAGTGTTAGATACAGAATTAGTTTAGGGAAGGTGAAATAATTAAGTGGTTTCCTTATCTGTGATAATGTTTCTTGTACTAGTTACCAGAATTAGTTAGGTACAAATTCTCAAAACAAAAATACCTTTTTCTTTATTTATTTCTTTCCTCTGTTATTCACACAACATTTCCAAACCCCAAAGATAACTACATATTGCATTGATTCACTGAATTTCTAATACAGGTTGGAAAGTCCAGGCATAGACAGTCAAACCAGCTTGAATTTTGTAAGTGTAATCTATGTATTTTGATCATCACTATCCTGTCACAGAACTAACAAACATGGAAAATAATGACCGTCAAAAAGATACCAAACTGCGAAGAGACAGAACACAGGATGCTGGAATTCTTAAAATAACGGAAGATCAAACCACAGAATATGTACACAAAAAGCAAAGGTTAGTAAATAATGAATCTGCTAAAATAATGGATAATATTAATTCATAGATAGAAACTTCTTTTACAGACTTCAAGTAACTGAAAGAAAATAGGGGAAAAAAACATTTCATTACATGAATTTTCACTTGCTGCTTTGATTTTATCTTTAGCTTGCAGCAATGCAGAACTAGCAAGTCTATAGCTGATCCTGGTGAAAAACTGGATAATCAGGTGTGTTTTTCAACGTAACATATTCTTAGTAATCTTGAGCAAAAAATATTATCGTCCGCCTAGAAATAGTCTAATTTTATAAGACAGGTAACTCGTTAGAAATATGAAATACTCAAATGTAGATTTGAGAGAAATTAAGAAAAGTTAATTCATGCAGTGCTACTTAGCAGATTTGCTAATGAAAAATCAACTGTATTTCTAAACAATGAAATCATGAGAACTTATACTTGTGGTTATAATTTAATAGGAACTACATATACAATAACTGTTTCAGTATTATTAATGTTAGCTGAATTTTTTTATGGTTTCTTGACAGTGACAATTTATTGGGTTTGTCGGTGACATTTTTATAATTTCACATTTCCTGTGGGATAAATTTTTCTTCTCTCAAGCCAAGCAAAATTTCTGATAAAAACTATAAAATCCTTTTAAAACATAGATATGATATAGTCATAGTATCAGAATAAGAACATAATTAGGAAGACTCCTCACCCACATGCAACTATATGGCATAATAGCTGTCACTATTAACTGTTGCCAGTGAGGTCTTGTGCAGAAATGGTAGTAATGGAGTCTTGTGAAAATAATAATGAAATTTAACATCTGGTATTATAAATTTTAGTTTAGAAATTGGCAGTCCAGCCTTCGTAAGCAATGAGCCAGGTGGCAGTTTTGAGGCCTGTTGTTCCTGATCTTGCATGGGAGCACCAGTAACTTGTGGGATTGTGGATGTAGGCAAGAACAATTGGCAATAGTCTACGTTTTGTCTGTATGCTCTCTGCAATGTAAGTGTTCAGTGTTCTGATTTTATTTGCAAATGTCCATCTATTTTTGTAATTTAGTAATCATTTGTACTGGTAACAGAATAAAAAAGCTTGTATGCAGAATTCAAATGCAGCCCGTCCATTCACTCAGGCCACTTTCAGGGCATGTGTCTACTGTAATTATTCAGGATTATGAGTTACATACTTACAGTGGTGTCTTTCGACTCTATAGGCAGATGAAAACAAGCAAAATCATTTTACTTGTCCGAAAGAATATATTTCACCTCCTAGTCCACCTTTTCTGGCAATTTCTGTAAATCCAGCGCAAGTTCCTGCAATGCAGGCAGCAAGTGAGTATGTGATTCCAAGAAATTGCAGGGAAGTGAACATTTAGTCAAGACTGCATAGTTAATGAAGACAGAAATGCCTACTTTATGAAAGAATTTGTACATACATTCGTTCACACTATTGTTACAAATTTTTGTTTGTGGTTGGAAAATTCCAGACATTTATAATTGCATGGGCTGTTTCATAGAGTATGGCAGGATTTCATATTGCAAAGTATGTTGAGGAGGAAATATCTTTATATAGTATATAAAGAGCTACTTATTAAAATAAAATAATTTCTACTGCCTGTTCTGACAGAGCTTTTGGCATGATTTGTGATGGGTGCATTACAAAAATCTTGACTGATCCTTCCTACTTATGGTATCCAGATGCTTGCTAAATATACTTATAATATCTTTAGAAAACAAGATGGTAGAACAATTGCAACAAATGAAGAAAGACAGAAAGCATATGGAAAAAACTAGAGAAGAACTGATCAAAAAAGCTAAAGGGCTCCTGGAACAAAATAAGCTGAGGAGATACCACGGTACACTTTTAATTTATTTTGGAATTTGGAATGACTGAGAAATGACACTGAAACCAAGGTGAAAATGTTTGTCTCTTTGTCAGTGAGCTTAATTACAGAGAGAGTAGTTTGCTATCCAGTAGCTCCAAGAAGGCTCACTCCAGCATACTGGAAAGATTCAAGGTTGCAATATTTCTGTCCACTTTTTTTGTGGCAGTCTTGTAAATCTAGAAATACCCTGGGATTTGTAAACCATTCAAGTCATGTCCCCCCAAGTGCAGTGCCCAGAGAGCTACTGCAGGCCGCTTTGCTGTTGGAGGCCCGGGGCAGCTGACGTTCTAAACCTGACTTTAGCCGGTGCTTACAAAGGATTTTACTGTGCTGACAGGACTTCTAGTCAAATTGCCAGCATAATACTTTTTGTTCCTCCTATCTAATGATATTCGGCTTATGGCATGGAAGTTACAAGCCTGTCGTGACAAGCTTGACAAACCTTGTTTTTTAACAAGGTAAAATCTCATTGAAATCCCACCCAAATTTTCTTTATAAAATTATTTTCAAGTTTATACTTAAACTATCCTCCCTGTCACATTCCAGTTGCATAGAGATGAGGTTTAATCACTTTGATGTTGTGAGAGTATTCTCTTTGTACTTAAATACAACTAAATCACTAGGAGTCTCAACTGTTGCTTGTAGCATTGTCGAAAGAAGAAGACAAGCGCATTCTTTCAGATATGGGCATGGCTGTACTGTGCTCTGCAGCGTGGTGAAGTTGTATTTAAAAAAACCTCCAAACTTGGGTACTTGAAGCAGTGAATCTGTAGTAGCATGGAGCTGCAAGGCAAGCTAATTTATCCTGCTGAGATAAGCCCTAAATGGCTTCTGCATTGTCTTAAATTATGTTATCCAGTTAGGTAAAATAAAGGGTATTTCACAAGGATTCAAACAGCTTCTGCAGGTTCTTTAAGAAGCGTCTCCACTTCTGAAGTATTTTTATGAGACCTGTAGTTTCATAAGTAAGCGCGTTTGCAGACATGTTTCTTCACAAGGTATGAAGGGAAGAACATATTCTGGAGGAATTTAACATGCTCCTAAGATTGCCATGCTGACAGTCACTCTCAGTTACATACCGTATAGTCCTCCAACAGCCGGGTTCTTTTTGATAGGTTTCTGAGAAGCAGTTGTCCTGATTTCCTACAATATGCCTTGAAAGAAGGAGTCATTTAAGACACTTTGCAGACCAGTGGATGTATGTGGCTCTAAGACTGCCACACCAGATATAGGGGGGATTTATGTGCCAGCTGTTGATAGCACATTAACAATATAGGAGGAATCATAGGCAAGTGTAAAGGTAAATAACTTCTCCCATAGTCTTAGGACTTCTATATAAAACTGAGCTGTTCAAAATCTCTGGCCTGCAGAGCTCAAATTTTGCATAACTGTATAGTGCTAAGTATTCCGTTACAGTAAAGCTGTGGACTTTGGGCTGTGGTGGGCGTACCAGTCTTCACAGGTCTGGAGCACTTATTGTGCCACTGAAACCCACAGAACAGCCAGGCTGAATGAAATTTTGGGTTTGGACCTTGTGTTATATCTCAGTGGACAGACAGAGCCTTTTGTGGCAGGTGATTGTGTGAGACCCCACCTGGAGTACTGCGTCCAGCTCTGGAGCCCCAAACATAACAAGGAGATGGATGTGTTGGAGCGGGTCCAGAGGAGCGCCACGAAGATGATCAGAGGGCTGGAGTACCTTTCCTACAAGGACAGGCTAGAGAGTTGGGGCTGTTCAGCCTGGAGAAGAGGCGGCTCCGGTGCGACCTTATAGCAGCCTTCCAGTACCTGAAGGGGCCTACAGGAAGGATGGAGAGGGACTTTTCACAAGGCTGTGTAGCGATAGGACAAGGGGGAATGGCTGCAAACTAAAAGAGGGCAGATTGAGATTAGATATTAGGAAGAAATTCTTCACCATGAGGGTGGTGAAACACTGGCACAGGTTTCCCAGAGAAGCTGTGGATGCCCCCTCCCTGAAAGTGATCAAGGCCAGGTTGGATGGAGCTCTGAGCAACCTGGTCTAGTGTAAGATATCCCTGCTCATGGCAGGGGGGTTGGAACCAGATGATCCTTAAGGTCCCTTCCAACCCTTACCATTCTATGATTCTATTCTATGAAAATTCAGTTGCACTTATAGTGAATGTAATTTTAATTAAGATTTTCACTAACTGCTTTTTTTAAAGAAACATACTGCCAATTTTTAATGCATGCATTGGCCAACTGAATCTTGTGAGATTAGTTGGCCGTTACTGTCTTCAACAGACCTTACGATAAGGTGAACAAGACCAAACAGCATTACTGTTTTCCTGTGTAGTTCGTGAGGAATGGAAAAAGAAGTACTTTGAAACTAAGAAAGCTACAGTTTCACTGGAGGATGCTTTAAACAAACTGCGACAAGATTTAGAGCTTTACCACCAGAAATTACTCTTGCAATTGGAAGCCAGAGAGAGCCAAAAACGACCAAACAATATGACAAACTCCAAGGTATTTGCTTGTATTATTTAATCTCTCTTTTTACACAGCCTGGGTGTTTTTTGTACAAAATATAAATTATAGTAACAAATTCGTCACCAACCAATGACTTGTAAACTAGCTTTAGCAGTCAAATAGTCCTCAGTGATGTGAGGTGTAGAATTCTTCTCAAAAAGACTGAAGATGTGCTCGAGTCTAAGCATTTGATTCTTTCTGCTTTGTGTTTGTACACCTTTTCGTAACAAAATCCCCTTTTGTTCAGTATGATTAATGAATTGTTCAGTTATACATTGTTCACATGATCCCAAATTTCAAATACAGAGGTAATGAATTCTAGTTGTGTTTGGAGAACGAGAAACATCTCGGAGGCTTTTGGAGTGGTTGCACTTGCACTGTTGTGCAACCATGAGTCTCCTGTCATGCTGTTGGTGTCAAATCATGGGAAGTTCAGAGAGGACTTAAAAAAAGATAAAAGATATAAGATAAGGGGGAAACACCCTTACCAACAGCTGTATCTACTAATTTTCTAAATGCGTTAATGGAAGCCAGTCTGTTGGCAAATCTGAAGCTAGACTAGGGAAAATAAGTGTCCCTTTCTTGTATCTGAAAGGGAGAATGTATATACAGAATCACAGAGTGTTCGGGGTTGGAAGGGACCTCTGTGGGTCATCTAGGCCAACCCCC